CGGGGGCATAAGCATATTAAGATGGAGATAATTCATATTAATGCCACATGTCCCACCGGGGCAGATATTGTCTTTTATTGCTGATGGGCGAGAAAGAGAGGAAGGGCTGCTTGTTTGGTATCAGCAGGCGAGCCATTGCCAGATGGCTTTTGGTCATCATTTCACTTTGGTGTGTGTTTTTTCTTTTTTTTTTACTCTCTTTGTTCACTGACCACATGACATCTGCACAGCAGTAAACTTAATTTAAGTGTGAGCCGGCTGGCACATCCCAACAAAACCAAACTGCTCCAAGATGAGTGTTTATAAATCGAGGGGATCAAAGCCCATCATGGTACAGAAGTGGTTGGCATGTATCCCTCACAGTTCTTGGTTCTAGTCCACTCCAGTGGAGTTTTCATGTTGTTCATGTGTGCTTTCGTGGGTTTCTTTAAAAAAATCTTTTTTAAGACGGTATAAAATATATTAAGAAATATTTAAAAAATAATTACAAAATAATAATAAAATATTAAATTGGTAATTTCTCCATTGGGAGACAAATAAAGGTATTCTTATCGTATCTTCTCTTATGATAAAGTAAGTCCACTCTAATTGACACCGTTCCCCAATTATTTCATGAATATGTCATCCGCACTTCAAATAAATGTTTCCTTATTACCCGTGGGAATTATGCAACTTGATGAATGTCATTGCTTTTAACGATGATTGATACCAACGTGTGTCGTAGTTGACATCGAGCAGACGTGACATCTCTAAAGGTGATTTTTACGCAGAACTTTTTAAGACATTTCAATCCATCCATTTGTTCCTTTTTTTATAGCGCTTGACGCTTGCCCTCATTAGAGATTAATAGAGTGAAGATTTATTTGCAGTTAACTACAATGTGATGAATACATAAAATATTGGACATTTTGACGGTAAAGATGGAGCTTCAGTTTGATCAGTCAGTCAGTTATAGTCTGGCAAGAATAACGTCATCTGTAAATTGGCCGATTGGAAGACAAGATGCCAAAAACATGGGACAGTGGTCCGTCTACTTACGAAATTAATTGGTTCTGGAAGAAATTTCTTAGCTAGAAAATTTTGTAAGTGGAGACGCGTTTTCCATGAAAATGCTCTAATTCGTTCCAACCCCCCCCCCCGCCCCCACCCCTCCAATTCAGACATAAATGTTTCCTAAACCATAAAAATGCATCAAAATATGTAACAAATAAATACATCTTACAATTAGATTATTGCACAATAATTGAGAGTTGCGCAAAATGTAAAAAACAAAGAATAAAGAATCAAAATGATGATCATATTGCGTCCTCGTCGTTTTTTTGCCCTTTTGCCTGGCGTTTTGTAAAGAACTGATCCAAGGACGTTTGCTTTTGTCGGCTTTTAACAATCCTTCGAAAATGTCCAAGGCAAACATCAGCATAGTGAGCGATCGCCTGACTGGTGAACACTTTTGTGGGGTGATTCACGTTTACGTAAAACTATCACAACACCTCATCGCCCAAGGGGCGAATGACGAGGACGCTGCATGCATCTGTCTAACCCCACTCCCCCACAAAGACACATATGGTAGAGGTCCCTCTTAGCCAATTGGATGCCAGGATGATGCGGTAATAGCCAATGGCAGACTAGCTATAAGTATGTTGCATTCAGGAAACTCGGAGCTGCGAGTAGCAAGCCATACTGTATTTTTACCTTTCGTATCTTGAAATTTCTTTCGTAACAAGAGGCAATATTCTCCTGTTGAGACGTTTCGTAACTTGAAAATTTCATATGAAGAGACGTTTGTAAGTAGAGGTACCACTGTATTAGCAAGTAGTCGACTTCAAGCACTGATCGACTAATCGCAAATATCAACGAGCAGCCATTCATATTCACCCTTATGGACGATTTAGAGTTTTCAGTGAAACCAGCATGAATGTTTTTGTAATCCAGAGGACCCAGGGAAAAACATTCTTTGAGGTGAAAGTTCTCCTTTTTTGCTGTCTGTCTGCCTTTCTCCTGACTTAGTGGGGTTGAAGGTTATCAGACACTGGCTGAGTCCTGTCATGCACTCATGACTTTGTAGTTTGTCAGCATCTTTGGTCCCCCTCTGAATGCTTCGATGATGACATTGATGCACAACACATCACCAAATCCAGTGTGACAAAGAGAGCTTGTCATGTATTTAACCCCACTCAAATCTGACCTGATGTGAATGGCTACAGTGTAGTCGGCGGCGCGCTCGCTTGGTGGGGGGGGGGGCATGTTACTTAAATGTGGCGGCAGATTGAGAGTGATGTGTTTAACAATGGCGCCACTGTCAAAGAGAACCTTGGGCAAAGTGGAGGCGATTTGTTTCTTATCACAGGATTGTGATAAGGACGCAGAGCAACTCGGCTAGCGTATGACATCTTTCACTTTCTTATTTCAATAGGATTTATTTCACGGTTTTTACTTTTTAACACAAAAGCCACAAAGACAGCACAACCCACTGACACGCTGACAATTTAAAGGGTTGTAAAACACAACTTAACACAACGCCTCAACAAGTCTTAGAAAACAAAACAATGCAAACATACTGTATAATTCATCATGATAATGTAAAAAAAATGTGTAATACGTAATCAGAAAAGAAAGCACGAATAGCAAAGGTGGTTCTATCATTGTGTTAGTAACAAGTGCATACCATTCCCATGACGAAGATGTTGTTCAGCCAATTCTTTGTATCTTCTTGCAAACCATTAAACAAAACACAGCATTGAAAACAAGCACCACTTGGAATAACTCTGACTGGAGCACAGACCTCCGTTGAAACCAGCCATTCTGATACTCACTGAAAATTGATACACACCTCCCACATGTGCCTGAACATTATCATAAAAATGCATGAAAGTATCGTGGAGCTGTGAAGAAACATTTTTTTTCATTGTAAATCTATTTCATTTTCACACAATAAACTGACCAAGGTCAATGATTACTGATGCACTCAGTTCTACACTTTCATAGGTCCGCACGTCCTGCATGTGCATAAATTTTGCTGCTGCCAACCTTCCCAGGTGCAATGCATTTTTGGCATCTATACCCGTCAATGGCAGTCAATGAGAATAAAAGATAAAATCATAGGCAGTCAATGGCAAAGACACCAATCAAAGATGTTTGCGTTGTCCTGCTAATAAACAAACATACATAGCAAGTTTGCTGAGGGCAACAATTGCTATGTGAAGAAACTCAGTAAGTCACAAAAGTAAGACTAATGTTAGCGCAGATGCTAGTGCTAACACTGAGAATTGTTCTGGCTGATTCACCAATTTTATAGACCTCTCAGGTGACCTGAGGTTGCCGTGTCCTATTCACAAAGCAGTTGGGTTTTGTATTTTTAAACCACAGAATGTACCACTTTCATCCTACTTTTGAGAAACATTCGTCATCGCATTTCCTACAAAGCACAGAAACAAATTGCATTGTATTAAGCAGAGGCGCGTTACTGGTGTCAAAGCAGACTGGAGATGACTGGAGTGTGACAAGCGCAACATGACATTTTAGTCTTTTTTGCAGCAGTGAAAAGAGATTACATGAATGGCTGCGTCCGCTTGTGTTCAAGTCTTTGCCTTTGCCCGTAATCCTCTGTAATGCTCTTTGTGCCGGACGCTCGCTGCTTTCCTTCATTGTTCTTCTTGGCTGCAGAGCATAGCAGAAGAACAAGAAGCAGCGACTTACTCATAGCCAAAACATACACACGGCAAAAACAACTTTGCCTAAGAGAAATATATAGAATCTGGAATGTCAAACTAAGACTGGTCCATATCTTGTCATATTGAAAAAAATAAATGCAATTTAAAAAGATTATTTTTAAATTTTACATTCAAAATTAAAAATAAATCTGCTAAATAAATGCATCTGGTTTGTATGTATTTGGTGTGACTCCTCAAGTCATGTGGGAAAAAAAATCTGTCAAATCAGAGTCAATGTAAATGTGATTTTTGACCCCCATGTGTCAGGGTCCAAAGCTGTAATTATTAAACTGAAGCTGATCAACATTTTGGTGTCTCACACACACACACACACACACACACACACACACACACACACACACACACACACACACACACAATCCTCTTTTCTCATCTGGATAAAAATTTAAGAAATCAGTATCTATATATTTTTATCCAATTTGGATATGTCTCATGTAAATTCAGTTTCAGAAGCTGTCACATTAAAGAAAGTTTCATCTGGATCTGCTTCTGGTATGAATCCACACTTGGGCGTGACACACGTGAGATAATGAAAAATTAGCACTGGAAAAATAAATCCGCATCTTTAATATTGTGCAAAAATACCAAACTCAATCATTTAATTTGAGCAAAATTTGATTATGCGCGATCAGATGCATGTCAAATTAGATCTGGTCCAAATATTAGTGTGAATCTACAAACCCCTCGAAAATTATTTTAAATTGGGAAATTAGTTTTCGAATTTAAACACAATTTACTTTCTGAATCACATTCTGGAATGAATCCACACATTTAATACAATGAAAATAACATTGTCAAATGTTTAATTTTAACATTTGTTGATAAATATATGCAGGAACAGAAACTGTAAAAGAAAATCCAGTTACATCTAGATCTGGTCCAGATGTTGATATGAAGTCATAATGTCATGCAGAGTGGGGTTTTTTCCCCCTCTCTCTAAATATTTTATACTCACACTAAAAATCAAGTTAAATATGAATGTGATCCAAATCGAGCCTTTAAAAGAAAATTCACAAAAGTTACTCGAGCATTTGTTTTGACTCTATATTGAGGACTCCCTTGTTTGCATGACGTCACGGCCAGCGGGCAGGACGTGTAGTTGTGGGCGGAGCTTCAAGTTTTACAGCCTCTGTGGAAACACACACACACCGCACAAGCACACACTTGCAGAGTGGACTTCGTGTGTCTGACACGTCAGTTTGAGGAGCGGTGTTTCGGCGTTCGGTGGATTTAAACCCTATCTCTTTTTACCTTTGCCCTTCTTTTCAGCACCCCGAAGACTGCAGCCACCATTGGATCTTTGGCGTGGATGTGTTTTTTTAATTGCATTTAGCGGGCAGGAACGGTGAGTGGCAATCTTGTTTTTCTGTGTGCGCGGAGCTGTTTTAATTGATTTCTTTCTTTTTTTTTCTTTTTTTTTGTCAGCAATTTGTTTGAAATAAAGCAATTCAGTCGGATTTCAAGTATTTTATGTTAACGTCAGTGTGACGAGACGAGAGCTGTGCAAACGTTGCTGGTGTTGACCAAATCAATATTTAAAAATACAGAGTTTCGAAAGAAAAGGGGGATGGGGTGGGGGAAGACAATTTTAAAGCCTTGTTTTATAATATTAGTAACTTTGGAGACATACTGAATTTGTTTACACAATAAAAAAACTTGGTTTAATGTCACAGAATGCACAAATGTACAATTAATGGCTTTTAATTTGATATTTAATGTAGAGTAATTAGTTTTGAACGGACAAAAACAACATTTTTTGTTATATACATGAAGTCATCAAGGTGCATTAAAATCAGGCTCTGACATTGTTCAAACTTGTTTTTTTAATGGCAGCCTCTGACCTGGCATACACAGTAAATTGTGTGCAAACTGTTTTTCTGTTTTGTTTGTGTGTTTGGGTTTTTTGTTTTTTTTGCGCAGTTTAAAAGCAAGGGATTTTTTTTTTAATCTTACATTTATCACCAATGTATAGGACACACCAAAACCTGGTTCAACATAAATTGTTTGAATTTAGTGCAGCTATAATTGCTTTTGTAGTTTAAAAGCACATTTTTGCAACTCTTAATCCTCATAACCCAATCAATGTGTTGGTTCACACCAAAATGTGGATCAAATCCAGATTAAACTAGAGGGGTGAAAATGAATTGATTAATCAACAACAAATTGATTATCAAATTAATCGACAACTATTTCAGTAATCGAGTCATTGTTGAGAGCCACTGCTTAACTTTGAATTGTCCAAATCTCTCCAGTTTCAGCCTCTCAATAGTAATTATTCTGTTTTCTGTAGTCTGATTATCTTTTATGTTTAATCAAAATCAGGCATTTGTAAACATCTGCTTTTTTAAAAACAATGACCAAACCAGTAATTGAATCAATTTCAGAAAAGTTGATGAGAACAACAACAATTCCACTCATTTTATATCGCTTGATTGTTGTTTACTTGTCACTAAACATGACCAAATAAATGACAATAATTGGTTGCTAAAGAGTAATTGGTTCATTGTTCATTGATTGGTTGGCAGAGATTCGAAATGTCTGTGTGTCACCAGGAAGGAAATGGGAAGATCCCTAGATGTGTCATATTACGACATTAAGATGATTACGAAACATTTTACAGGCTCGGCAACTCTTGGCATGCAAAGTGTGGGTTTGTTTTGTCAAAAACATCAACAAAAACTATTGCAGCAGCCTTTCATCCTGGCCAAAGATTGACAAAAAAACAGGTAAAAATGTAGGTGATGTGGACACGTAGTGGTTAGCACATCTGCCTCACAGATCTGAAGATCTGGGTCGGAATCTCAACTCAGGGCTTTCTTTGTGAGGTTTGCGTGTTCTCCCTTTGCTTGGCTGGTTTTGAACTGAAGTCTCGAAAATTTCCAATCCAAACTCATTATTGGTGTGAACGTCTGAGTTTTCCATGTGTATTCTGACTTCCTCCCACATTCCGAAAACATGCCTGCTCTTGGAAGGACTCTAAATCAAAGGTGTCAAACTCAAGGCCCAGGGGCCACATCCAGCCTGCAGTATCACTTAAATGGCCCACAAAAACTAAAACAAAGAAAGCGCTTCTACTTCATGTTTCTTGCTAAATACTCTCATCCTTACTTTTAACAGCAATTACCACCAGATCCTTTCTAAACATAAATTTAACAGCTGTATACAGTACTTTAATACTTGCATGACACGCATTTCCACAAGTTAGGATTTCAAATTAAGTTTGTTAAAGATTGAAGATCAGGTTGTGACTTTATGCTTCACCTTTTCTCCGTGGGGAAAAAAAAACAAGGAAATGATTTGTCGCTTTAATAAGTTGATGAGTCCCCGATTGTGCCATCGCACAGAGGAGGATGATGATGGGATCAGACCTTCAGCTGACCTCATGCGTGCGGTGTGATAGCCTATCAGTGAGACTGAACAACACTCATCCTCCCTCATTTTACTGTAAACCAAAAGCTCCAGGAAGCAGTATTCCTTGAAACACTTACACCCCCTTCTCTTCCGCATCCTCCTCCTTTTATTGAGCCACCATACACACACACACACACACACACACACACATACACACACTGGTTCCACGCCCACCCTCCCACACAATCACATACACATTCAAACACTCAAAACAAACATACATGCTCCACCCACTGCTCGGCAAGAGGAATGGTCCGCATGTGTAGACCAGAGCGGGGAGACGCTCGTTGCTTTTAACAAAGGTTCATGAGGGCCCTTTGGTCTCTGAAACAAAGATAAAGTGAACCCACATTCATCCTGGGGCATATTTTCCAATCCCACCCGCTATCTGTGATGTTTTTCTCTTACATGCTTTGAACACATTTAAACTATTCCAACACTTTTTAAACACAAACAAACAAAAAAACAACAAACAAATTGCGAGCATAAAATGCGTTGAAAAATACTGTGTGAATTGTAGTGTGTCTCTATTAGACGAATGTGCCTTTAAGAGCCCGGGACCTTATAAGGTAGCATGCAGAAGTCCACAAGGTTGCGTGTGAGTGTCTGGGTGTTACCTGTGGCTGACAGCACTGTGAGTCGTTTGTCCTCATCTTGCTAAAATCAGCCTTCATGCCGCCCCCTGTATACTGCCAACAGCAAGACCAACTTTCATTATCATTAAGAGATGTTCAATACTACTTTTTTTCAGGCCAATACCAGTGTCAGTATTCACTCTTAAGTACTCACCGATACTGAGTACTGATACCACTAGTGCTTTTGATACACAAATTCCAATCAACGCAAGAGCAGATAATTGTGAATGTTTTATATATATATATATAGAGATATATATATAGATATAGATATATATATAGATATAGATAGATAGATACACAGTATATACACACACACACACACACACACACACACACACACACGATGTACTGTGTGGGGGATGGCATTTAAGGCGAGGTGTGAGATTGTCAGAATTTAGTGCCAGTATCTGTTTGAATGAGGCTCTGATGGAAATCTATTATGCAACAAGCTCCTCTCTCTCCTGAGACAAATTCCTGTCTCCTTCTCTTGGTTTTTTTTTTTTTTTTGCTTCTCTGTTTTGAATCAAGTGCAGGGGAAAAGATAAAACTCTCCCTTTGCGATGAAAAACAGCTGGTCCGGAATGTGTTTGTATAAAAGTCCACTGCTTTTTTTTCCCCTTTCAAAACTAGCTAATTTACTACTCGTTTCTGTTGCAAAGCACAGCCATAGTATTGTGCCGCAGCCGCTGTCATTCAGAACAATGCAGAGGAGCGGATGCTTATTAGAAAAGAGAACATTAAATAAGTTTATTATTCTCGATTTCACAGTTCAAGACAAGCGGCTTCATTGCAACCGGTTATTTTCTGTGGCCTCCATCAGACACTGGTGCCAAGAGGGGCCAGCTCATGTTGACTTATGACTTCTTTTATTGGCACCAAACACAAAAGCAAGACCGCCACCTGAGAGCAAACAAAGCAGAGGTGTCTCGGCTGGTCTGTTTGGAACTTGACAGATAGCATAGCATGAACAGAATAGCGGCAATCTTGGTAGGTGCTCAGGCTGATTTGATGTCGCTGTGGTTGAGCTTGATAATCATGTGGATTAATCGTGTCCTGAGGCCATTTCGGTAAAATGGAGTGCACTGCTTGGTTGGTTTGCTGTCTGAAAGAAGTCCAACCTTATATGAACTATGAAAAGTTAAGATTCATCAATGCTTTAAACTTATTCAGCTCAATATAAGCCACCTGGTAAAAGGACTCCTCAGAAAGAGATTCAGCCATCCAAACTAAATTGTTAATTCAAGGAGAACATGCAAATTCCCGAGTGAGGGTTCAAACCCAGGACCTCTCGACTATGAGGCACACATGCTAACCTGTACAGTCATGCCTTGGGAATTGAGCGGCCCGAATTATGAGTTTTTCAAAATAGAAGTCCGACAATTTTATTTATTTATTTTTGCTTCGACTTGCGAGCAAAGGTTTGCCACAACATATGAAAGTGAACTTATTTCACAACAAGTAGCCAAAAAAGAAGCTTCAAGCTGTTCAATGCCACTCTGTTGAAGCTGTTAAAATAAACACCTTGGAATGGTCGCCGGCCATTTGCTGATCCATCTCGCAAAAAAAAACCAACTATTTCCACTCACATTCACACCAATGGACAACATAGATGCTCAAATGAACCTCACATACTCACTCCACACAGGAAGGCCCTGGGCCGAGATTTGAACCCGAAACCTCCCAACTGTGAGGCACACACGCTACACTGAGCATTCATGTCTTGAAGTTTGCTCCAGTTCTTGCATTGGGTCTCACTGGATTGCCTAGATGTAATGTCCCGACAAAGTACACAATTCCCCTTTTGAAACCTTTTGTCTGGCTTGTCAAAACCTGTAATGAAATGAGTTTCCACGTTGATGAAACTGCAGGGATTTCATGGCTTCCTTCCAACAATGACTTGAAGTCACGAGATTGCCGGTCCGCTGTGGCTAGCTACGTATTTACTCTTGCTTCCCATGTGGCGTAATCAGCACAGTGACCTCACGGAAGCCCTCGTTGTGTAATTGCGTGCGTGTTTGATCGCATGCACGACTCGCATCGTCACGCAGGTGGATCACGATCCATTGCACAATGTACAAGCTAGCTGTAAACAACAAGATTCAAGATTCAAATTGTTGATCTTGTGCACCTTTGGGGGCAACCCGTTTCTTCAGTATCATGAAATTCTTATTTTGCAGTCCACATAGAAGACAAAAAGCAAACCCCAATTCCAATAAAGTTGGGGTGTGTAAAAGGTTAAAAAAAAAAAAAAAAGAACACAAAGACGTGCAAAGACCCAAAAATTCTGCCAGCTTCT